CCTCCTCCTCCTCCTCCTCCTCCTCCTCCTCCTCCTGGCGAGCCGTGGTCGATCGGGGGTCGAGGCGCGGGCTCGGCCGGCCTCGCCCGCACCGGCCCGGCGCCCGCTCAGCCCGGCTTCGCGTCGTGCCAGTTCTTGGCCGTGCGCGCGTCGACCACGAGCCTTGAGTCGGGCGTGTCCCCCTACAGGGGGATTTTCGGCGAAAGATGAAAAAAATGCGCCAAACATGTTCAACAGATGCCAGAAAATATCCAAAGAATGGCCCCCAGGCATTTTTTCTAACCATTTTTTGATATTCTCCCTGTAGAGGGACATGCCCGACTCAACACGAGCCTGGCGGCCATGCCGAACGGCAGCGGGTCCTCCATGAGCCGCCGCACCTGCCACAGCGCGTCCTCTGCCCGGGCCTCCGGGCCCTCGAGGACCACCTCGTCGTGGACCTTCTTGCGCGCTCGGCCGTGGGCCCCGTGTGGCCCCTCGGCCGTCGGCGGTCTCCGGCGGCCCCTCACGGTCCTCGGCGATCTCCCGCGGCCCTCTGCCGAAGAAGGGGGGCGGCTCCCTCCCACTCGGAGGCCACATGGTCGAGCACCCCGGGGCCTGGAGCACCATGTGGAAGCCGACCTCGTGCAGCAGGTATCTGCACGAGGCCAGGCGGAGCATCGCGAGGGTCACGATGTCCGCCGCGCTGCCCTGCACGGGGGTGTTGATGGCGGCGCGGAGGGCGTGGTTCCTCGGCGGTGGGCAAACCTCCCTCTAGGAAAAACCTCCCCTGAGTGAAAACGGCCTGGGACCGAAACCGACGGACCCGGACGGCCGCGACGCCCTCTCGCGAACCGAAAGCGGCCAACTCCCGAATCGACGTGTCAGGTCTGTCAACCCCCGAGTTCCTCTTCTGCGCGCTCAGCACGTCGCGGACCGCGGGCAGCCGCCGGAAGCGCCCCAGGAGCGTCCGCACGCCGCCGCTCTGCCGGGCCTCGTCCTGCGTGCGCGCCTGCCACTGCCGGATCTCCGGGTACGCCTCGAACCAGTCGTCGATGATCTGCTGCGCCGCACCCAGCTCGATCCCCCAGTCCTGCGAGAGCCCCCAAGCCGTCTTCCCGTACAGGATCGCGAAGTTCAGCGTCTTGGCGCGCCCCCGCTCGAGCGGGAAGGCCTCCTTCACGGTGGGCAGCGGCTGCCCGGCGGAGTCGCCCTCCTTGTCCAGGCGGACGGTCCCCCGCTCGATGGCGGCCCGCACGCTCGGGAACATCTTGGCCGCAGTCTTCGAGTGGAAGTCGCCCCCGCTGTTGAGCGCATCCACCCAGGCCTGATACGGATGAGCAGGGACCGAGAATTTTTGCATTCCGCTAGGCTGACCACGAACATCTGCTTTCAACAGGAGGGCTGCTTGAGAACAACACTGGTGTTGGAATGCCGAAGACTGGGGGGTAAGCCGAAGTGGAACGAAGAACCCTCCACTGGGAAATCGGTTTCGGTTGCGGGTTCGTGTCGTGCGTGCGGGCGAGGCGAAGCTGCGTCGGCGGGCGAGAGGGCTGTGGCTAGGGCGGGTCAAAACAGAAGACCGCCCCCCTGGTTGGCTGGCGTGGCCCGGGTTGTCCCGCCGTGGTGTCCCGCCGTGGTGCCCCGTCGGTGTCCCGTCGGTGTCCGCGGGCGGTGGCCAGGGGTGTCCTGCCCTGGTGTCCCGTCGGTGTCCTGTCGGTGTACCGTCGGTGTTCCGTCGGTGCCTCGCTGGTGTCCCGTCGGTGTCCCGTCAGTGTCCCGTGGGGTCCCGTCAGTGTCCCGTCGGTGTCCTCAGTTGGTTCTTTCCCCACATCCTCCTTATCACCCGAAGTGTGGTCGTATAGGTATCGTATGCTGGGGGGTGAGATCGAAGTGGAACGAAGAACCCCCCACCGGGAAATCGGTTTCGGTTGCGGGTTCGTGTCGTGCGTGCGGGCGAGGCGAAGCTGCATGGGCGGGCGAGAGGAATGACTCCGCCGTGGTGTTCCGTCGGTGTCCCGTCGGTTTCCGCGGGCGGTGGCGCGGGGTGTCCCGCCGTGGTGTCCCGTCGGTGTCCCGTCGGCGTCCCGTCGGCGCCGAGCATCGCCAGTATTTTAGCCCATTGCCATCGTGCATTGTCGTCATCATCGTCGTCTTGCATCGTTGTCAATTCGTGAGCGCACCACCAGCATCGCCACCATGACAATTATCGCAGTTGTCCTCATTTGGTTCTTCGCGCCAAGATCCCCTGATCACCAGAAGGGTGGTCGTATGGGTAAAGCTGACGTATTTGAATTATCCCAGAGCGACCCTACATAGGAGTTGGAGCCCCGAGGAGAGCAATATTAGTAGTAACGGTAAACGCCGTCCTCCTCCTTCTCCTCATCGTCGCAGTTGTAGCAGTAGCGGTAGTAATAGTAGCTGTCGGCTGTTGCTTTGCCTTTGCTTTGATGCTATGCTATGCTATGCTACGCTACGCTGCGCTATGCTATGCTATGGTATGCTGCGTTATGGTATGATATGACATGCTATGCTGCGCTATGATATGCTAGGGAATGCTAGGCTGCGCTATGTTATGATATGATATGCTATGCTATGCTACGCTGCGCTATGCTGTGCTATGATATGCTGTGTTATGCTATGATATGTCATGCTATGCTGCGCTATGATATGCTATGATAGGCTATGATATTATATGCTATGATACGCTATGCTACGCTATGCAATGCTGCGTTATGCTATGATATGTTATGCTATGCTGCGCTATGCTATGCTATGTCATGCTATGCTATGCTGCGCTGTGCTATGCTAAGCTATGCTATGATATGATATGATGTGTTGCGCCATGTTATGCTATGCTATACTATGATAAACTATGACATGCTGCGCTATGCTATGCTGCACTATGCTATGATGCGCTATGATATGCTATGATATGCTACGCTATGCTATGCTATGCAATGCTATGCTATGCTATGCTATGCTATGCTAATGCTGCGCTGCGATAAGCTAAGCTGAGCTAAGCTAAGCTAAGCTAGGCTAGGCTAAGCTAAGCTAAGCTAAGCTAAGCTAGGCTAGGCTAGGCTAGGCTAGGCTAGGCTAAGCTAAGCTAAGCTAGGCTAAGCTAAGATGAGATAAGCAAAGCTAAGCTAAGGGGGCGCAACTGGGGGAACCGCGGGGCGGATACTGGGGGAACCGCCCGGGGCGGTGTGCACTGCCCGGCTCCTTTAAGAAAGAGAGTAAGAACCCTCTAGGCAGAGCCTAGGTAGGGAATAAAAGGACTGCCTCAGCCAGAACTGTTCCAACAACATGCCGTACAGACCGCGAAAGGTTCTCAGAACATGTTCTGGTGGACCGACAGGCAGGTCAGGGCGCTTCGCCGCTGCTTGAGCCTGGCACCCCGCCAGGTGGGCGAGCACGCGCAGCTCCAGCTGGGCGTAGTCCGCGACCACGAGCGCGTTGCCCTCGGCGGCCACGAAAGCCTCCAGGGAACACGGACGTGCCAGCTGCACACCCACGCCGGCCTCGGCCGGGCCGATCCTGGGCCCAGGGGCCGATGCTCACGAGCAGAGAGCGCCTCCACATCCACGCCCCCGCGGTCTGGATTCTGGGGCGCGATCCGGGGGACATGCGGTCGCACGGCTATCCTCCGCGTAAGGCATCCGCGAAAAAATCACGTGTCCATGGGGTCGCGGCCCAGGGGCCCAGCCTACGAGGCTAGACCTTTGGAGACGCTTCCCGCACACGGTGTGTACGCGCTCTCCTGGCCCATCCCGTCAATTATTGTACTGGATCTACGTCGACCTTGGGCCGCAGATGGGACCCAGCCAGGACCGGTGCCGGTGAACAGGCGGCGCCCGCCTGGCCTTGCGCACGAGGCTGCCTGAAGCAAGTGGTAATGGGGGGTGGCCCAGCTGGGGGGGTGCAGGAGAAGGCCCTACAGGGGCCCTTTAGGGCCCCTGTTGGGCACCAACTGGCTCCAACGGGAGCCCGAAAGGGCCCCATGCAGGGCCCTTGAACTTTTCTTCGCCCCCCTGTGTGGGCCAACCCCCATTGCTGCCCGCCCGACTGCCGCTGCCAGCTGGCTGGTTCTGAAGGTTCGGGTCCCGGGACGAGAGGCGCCCGGTCTCCGTGTTGAGATTGAGGCAGGAGCGGATCCTGCCGTCCGCCTGCACGTGGTCCTCGGCGCGTCGTGGAGGGGAAAGGTCAGGCAGGGCGGCAGGCCCAGGCCCAAGGGTCATGACTTTTCCAGGGCGTGGAGCCCAGAGGTCTGGACCCCTTCCCGAGGACCGGCCTTGCATCCTTGACTACCTGCCAGACCACCCCAACCCAACCCGAAGACCCGAATTTGACCCGAATTTCGGGTTGGGGTGGGTACGGGCTCCATATGTGTCTTTCCAATGTTCCCCGACCCCCCCCACTGGAAATGGAGGGCAAATTGATGCCTTCGGGTTGGGTTGGGGTGGTTCGGTGGGTGGTGATCTATCTTTCATCTTTTATCGCCAGTTCTCGCTGACATTGCGGTCTGCCCGTTCATCCTGAGCCAGTTTTTGACAGTCCCAGGACCCAGTAAGGGCCCACGGAGGCCGGCAAAAAAGCACCTGTCGTGTGGACTTGATCACGACGCGAGGAGGTATGGGAAGCGGGGCGGCCGAGGGTGCTGACTACCTACCAGACCACCACAACCCAACCCGAAGACCTGAATTTCGGGCTGGGGGAGGGTAAGGGTTCCACATGTGCTTTTCCGATGTTTCCCGACCCCCCCCCACTGGAAATCGACGGCAAATCTGGGCCTTCGGGTTGGGTTGGGGTGGTTTGGTGGGTGGTGAGGTGCATACAGAGGAGAAACACGATGCACATACACCGATTCTGGCCAGGCCCATCCTGAGCCCAGGATCGGTGCATACGCCCTCCTACCTTGGCCAGGAAGGCATATGCAGCGATCCTGGGTCAAGGATGGGCTTTGCCAGGATCGGTGCATGTGCATAGTTCTCTTCGCCCGAGCATGCTCGAGGTCCTGCAGCGGGCGGAGGAAGAAGTCGAGCTGGCCGTCGAGCTCCCGGAGCTCCGCGAGGCGCTCCAGGGCGGCGGCCACGCTCTCCGGCCCCAGCGCGCCCTCGCGCTCGGCGCCCTGCCGCTCCAGCGCCGCGGTGCCCTGCTGCTTCGCCATGGCCCGCAGCACGTCCCCGGACACCGAGGGCCAGCCCGCCTCTGTGTACGCGATCGCCTCTCTTTGCAGGGGCTCCCAACTTCGCACTCTCGCGCTCCGCGAAGCGCGAAGCGCGGACAGCTTCGCGCTCTCGCGCCGCCCCCCCCCCAACGGGAGGAACGGAGGACGTGGAGGAGGGGGAGGGGGAACGAGGACCGCGAAGCGCGAAGCGAGAATAGCTTCGGGCTCTCGTGGGAGCCCTTGTCTTTGGACGCCCGAAATGGGTACGGAAAGAATGGGTACAATGCCCAGTAACAAATGTTGTCTCAAGCCAACAGCGGCCGCTGCTGGGTAAGCGGCCTTCTGTCTCAAATGGACACAGGCCGCGACGGCGCGGACAGCGAGTCCTGTTCAAAATGAACAGGAACTGCTGTTGAGCATTGTACCCATTCTTTCCGTGCCCATTTCGTTCGTTCCGACTCTCGGGCAGAAGGTTCTTTCCCTTTCCCCTCCCCTCTTCGCTTCTGCGCGTGCGTGCTGGGGAGAGGGAGGACCGTACCATAACTGCTTTTGCCCAGGCCAGTCTGACGGGCAGGCGAGGCTGGCGAAAGCTCACCACAGAGCACGTGCGAAACAAGCATCACATGCATCACAAGTTTGAGATCATCAATTGATGTATTGCGGAAGGGGTGGACGAGAATGGGGCAACGTTATTTATCCCCCGAGCGTCCCAACCAACACGGCAAGAAATGGTACTCAAACAAGCCCTGGTCCGGAAAGTGAAGCAGCCGTGCCTCGAGGGAGCGGCCAACCCGAGCCGGCAACCGAGAATGGGGGAACAAAAAGACTGGCTGGTTCTCCAAACGTGCTCGGTCTTTGAAAAAACATGGCAGGAAATGTTCGGCCACTTCCGGCCTCTGGGAACCTTCGCCAGGCCCCGGGACCGTCAGAAAACGGCTCGGGATGAAAAGGCGGCCCTAGGAAACCTGTTCAGAACTCTGGGGACCGCAAACTGAAAAATCGAGACGTGTCTGGGCGGGGAGGGCGCCAGGATGGGAGGACAAAAAAATACTCACATACCGCTACTCCATTGGCTTCTGCTGGGGTGCTCCACGAGTCGAGTCTGGCCGTGGATCGATGCTTCTCCCCTCTTGCGAATGGGGTGTGCACAAGTCGGCCGCACCTGGCCGACTACCCGAGGAGCACCCGCGGGGCACTGGGTGCACCCGTGCGTCGAGGATGGTGCTGAGCAGCCGGGATCCTAAAACAGTCCCGCGCGGCGGATTTCGGGACTCGTTTGGCAGCGCGCAGAGGAGGGTAGGGGGAGGGGGGAAGGCTTCTTAGAAGGAGGCTGCTACTTGGAAGGCGCCGGCCTTACATCTACGGGGAAAGCACGCAGCTTCTAAGGAGCAGGGGTCCTTCTAAGAAGCCTTCCCCCCTCCCCCTGAGTGCGGGCACGGCCGCAAGAAACCCTCGCAAGCAACCCAACCTCGAAAACTCGCGCGTGAGGTGCACCTGAGGGGAAAGCCAGAGCACCCTGAACGTACCAGCTCCTTCAACGGCTGCGAGAAGTCACCGCGCAGCTCGCGAAGCGAAGAAACTCGGGATGCCCTGACGAAAAGCATTCAGTTTCTTGATGCGCGTCCCCACTGTACCCCTCCCCTGCGCTTTGCCGACTCGTTCTCACCCACCCTGCTTCACTGCAGAGCGCCTGCAGCCACTGCGGTGCCACAGTGAGGAGAGCGCTGCACACGGAACGAAGGGGGCTCCTGTGGCCACGGGCAGCCTCGACCCCGAACAGGTTCCACGACCCAGAGACCTGGAGAGCGAAGGGCTGCGAATCCTGGAGAATCTGGAATTGGGAGGCCTGGAGCTCGACAGCAACACCAATATCGGCGGTGTGCCTCCACCGAGGGAAGGTGCTCCCGGTCTCGGTGATGGTGGTCATATTTTGGCTTCCTAGGTGGCCGAAGTCTTACCACAAACACCGAATTCTGGGATCATCCTCCCCGGTGGAGGCATGCCCGTGTGCTGGTGTTGGTGCCAATTTCCAAGCCTCCAGGGAATCATTACGACCCCCCCCCTAAGAAGGAGAGAGACATGCACAAGCACAAACTCTTGACGGTCCGCGCGGATGTCTTGGATCTGCGCTGGACCCCCCCCCCTGGCGCGCCAGAGGCGCGCCAGGGGCGGCGCGCCAGAGGCGCCGCCCGGGCGGGCCCAGCGCGGATCCAAGAAATCCGCGCGGAGCGCCAGCAGTTTTCGTCCACGGCGTGCCTTCTTCTTCGACCCCCCCCGTCTGTGCAGTGCTTCCAGACTTCCCAGAACCCCGAATTCGGGGGAACCGATACAGCCACACGACTGCCGAAAAGAGCGGCCCGAGAGCCCCGGCCACGTCCCGAGTCCGAAGTGGCCGTTCTTCCAGCGCCCGGCTGTACAGCGCCAGGCCTCGCAGAGCGAGCGGCGGTGAGGCGAGTGCGACCAGCGTGGCGCAGCGGCGTGCCCAAAAGGAGCGGGAGGAGGGCCCAGACATCCGCAGATCCCCCTGTGAGGTCTTTAGATCTAAACCCCTCTCACCCTTTTCTCTCGGCGGTGAATGGGACTGGTCCTGAAACCTCCTCGTCGCGGCGGGGATCACTATCCCGCTGTTGTTGGGCGGGCTGGATAACGTTGGATTTCCCCCCAGGGAATAGTGCTCCCTGCGATACCCTGCACTTGCCCTGCTGAGGAGGAGGGGGAGGAAGAGGAGGAAGAGGAGGAAGAGGAGGAAGAGGAGAAGGAGAAGGAGAAGGAGAAGGAGAAGGAGAAGGAGAAGGAGGAGGAGGAGGAAAAGGAGGAGGAGGAGGAAAAGGAGGAGGAGGAAAAGGAGGAGGGGGAGGAGGAAGACCCAGAGGTCCCGAACCGTTCCCTGTGGATAGTTTTCTGCCCCGGATCGACTGTTGACGGTGCAAGGGCCCGACAACGGACCACGGATGCCGAAATCGAGGAAGAACGCTCGGATCCGTCGGAGATCTGGGGATTCGCCCCCGTTGGCCGTCTTGGCAGACTCCTGCCTTGACGACGCGGGCCCTGGCTTCTGGCACCACGTGAACCGTTCTCCAGCTTGGACGATCTCTGCCCTCGGCCCCCAAACTGGGAACGAGCTCCCCTGGGGTCGCCGCAGCGTCGCTGCGGCACGAACCTGCACGTGTTTGTGCAGCGATTTTGATAGGCATTCAAATACCATTAACCCTGTGGGAGGGGACCTAAGTTAGGAGGACCACAAACATTAGAGACAGAGGGGTCTTGTGTGCAGATGTCTCAAGCCAAGCCGCCCAAACTTATTATCTTTGATGCGAAGACGGGGGCCTCAGTGAAGCCACGTCCTCATCATGTTTTTCAGGTTTGGGGTTCAATTGTCCTCGATGATTTTTCTTCCTCTCATCAGAAACTGTAAAAAATACACAACACACAGACTTTCGGAGGTCCGCCAGGAGTTCTTGGATCGGCGCTGGGCCCCTCCTCTCTGGCGCGCTCCGCGCGCCAGGGGCGGCGCGCCAGAGGCGCCGGCCGGGTGTGTGTGTGTGTGTGAATGTGTGTGTGTGTGCGCAGATCCAAAAAATCCACGCGGAGCTCCTGAAGTTCATGCAACATGTCGTTCCTCGACTGACTTTTGGAGCTCGTCGAGCCTTCAGCCCAAGCCTGAGGCCGCGGATCCGCACGCTTGGTGCCTTCGGCTTGCCGCGCGGGGCCATCTTCTGCTCGTGGCCCTGGTCCTGCAGCAGGAGGCGCTCCACGAGAGCGGCCTTTGGAAAAGCATCTTGCATAGGCCATGATGCTACTCAACACTCACAAAACGAAGGCGTCAGGGCCGCACATTGGGGCCACGGAAATCGAAAAGCGGTTGCCTAATATACATTATCTGGCCCGTGCTGAAAACTTGCATCCAGGCGGGCCTCGATACGGAAATCGCAAATCCATTTCGGGGCCAGAGGCCAGCAAAGAGAAGAGCACGAGCAGAAGGGAACGAGCGAGTAGCTCTGCTGGGGGCCACCAGAACTTTCGGGGCCTGCATCCGCTCTCAAGACAGGCGGTCGCCTTTCCAACCCCCGAGGGGGTGACACTGCCAACCGAACCTGGCTACCTTCCGCTCAACGCAGAACGTGGTGCCGTCGCTGCAGCGGGCGGACCCACCTGTGGCGATCTGCCCATGTGGGCCCCATTCAGGGGTCGGGGGGGGGAGGCGGAGGAGGAGGAGGAGGAGGAGGAGGAGGAGCAGGAGGAGGAGGAGCGAACGTACCCTTGTGATGATGATGATGATGATGATGAGGAGGAGGAGGAGGAGGAGGAGGAGGACTGCACTGCCCAAAGAGAAGGGGACGAGGCGGACAAGAGCACGACAGGGGACGAAAAATATTCCGAAGGAAAATCCGCGGACCAGGCCGAACTACATGATGATGGCCTGGGCCAGGGTGCCTGGAGAACCGCCTCGGATGTCTGAATACTTTGCCAGGGTTACGCGGGCGAGGGGCAGGCGCAAGACGAACGGGGGCATGATCAGACAGGCGGCGGCGATCGACGACGTCGCCGATAGTCATGGCGCCAGTCTGCGTCTCTCGAAGCTCGGCGGAGAACGCGTTGCAGAGGACGCGGTCGAGCCTTGCGACGGACGCAGGCGCGTCGCCCTGCGCAACCCGATGGGCGGGCATCTCTTGAATGACCTCGGCGCAGCGAGCAAGAAAACCTGCGGCGCGTCGAACGAGGTCGAGCGTGGCGCGAGCAGACCTCCCCGAGACACGCCGGGGTCCATCTCCTCAAACTCAAAGCCTCTCCAAAGGGAGACATGGCCTGGAAAACCGGACTGAGGCAGACCTTTTGGGCCGAGATGGGGATGGCAGGCGCGCTGTGAATGTCCGCGGTTTGCAGGACCCCCTTGAGATCGCGAGAGAAGGGCGCCGCGAGCGCGCCCTCTGCGCGCGACGTGGCGCCGCGCGCGCTGAAACTTCCTGCGTGGAGCCTCGCTGCGAAGAATGACGCACCCGCCTGCGCTTCGAACGTGGAAAAAGGCGCGGAGGCCACGGGTGCCTGCTACTTCTGTAAGGAGGAGATCTAGAACTTCCTGGAGCCCTCGGGCCTGTTATGACCGTACAACATGACGTCGGGAAACACAACGCTTTACGGATTCAACTAATGCGCAGGACCTGGCTGGACCAAACGGAATTGAACAAACGATGAACGCTCCAGGAACCCATGGAGAGCTTAGCGGGAAACTCGCAGGGATGGAGATCATCGGAGTCGGGGTGCTTCTCGGGGCCGGGGTAATCCCCAGGGCCGGGCGAAGAGGAAGAAGACGAGGAACAGGAGGAGGAGGAGGAGGAGGAGGAGGAGGAGGAGGAGGAGGAGGAGGAGGAGGAGGAGGAGACGAAGTTCCCCAGGAACAGCTGCTGCAACTGAAGAAGGAACCAGAACCGGCAGACCCCGCGCGCCTGGCTGTGGGAGCCCAGCGTGGCCCGGCCACGCTGGATAAAATGTCGGAGTCCCGCTTGCTCCAGGGCGGCGGCACTCGCCTCGTCGGCAGTCGGTCGATCGATGCCGAAGTTGCTGAGACCGTCGTACTGCACGTCGAAGGCGTAGCTCTCGCCGACATCGATCAGCGCGGCGTGGACCTCGACATCGACGTGGGCGAAGAGAAGGAGCGGCATTCCGCGCGGGCCATTGCGTCCGAGGTGGTCGCGGGGCTTCCATACGCTGTTCTCCTGCCTGCGTTTGAAAAGATCTTGCCATAGACGCCCAAAAGCTCGGTGGCGAAGGCGAACCTCGAGAGCGGAGTCTAGGCGGCACCGAATAGGAATGCGAGCGTTCGTGCGAGTGTCAATCCACGCGACGCCCTTGTTTTTGATGGACTGGACACCCAAGCTGGCGATGTCTGTGGAAATGAGACGAGTGGAGTAACTCATCTGCATGTTCTTGGTCGCGACCTCGCTGTTGGCGCCGCTGTGCGCGGGAAAAGCCGTCCAAGACGATCCGAGCGTGGGCCGGCATAGCGGAGGCGAGCATGCGAAGTGGGAATCCACCAAACCATAGTTTGCACTTTTCGGCTTCAGATACACTGACGACAGGCGATGGAGCAGAGTCACCAACTGCTCGACGCTTGTTGCTTGACGGAACCGAAGAGAACGTAGATCATCCAACGGATGGCGGGGCACTGGTAAAATGAACACGCGCCGCAGCTGATTCACAAGATGCAAACCGAGATTCTAGTTTGACCATGATCGCTGCCTCAACTGCTGCTGTGATTCGGTCCGATGTGCCGTGCCCGATGTGGGCGATTCGGGTCTCAATCACCGCGAACTTCTCATCGTGGCTGTTGGTGGCCCGGTTGCTGGCGATGTCCTGGCGAGTGGCGACCTAACCGAGGGAACCCTGGATGGCCGTCAGGACGCTCATTACGTCTCTTGTGGTAGCGGCGGTGTGGCAGTCCCTGCGACCTGACTGAGACCTGGTTCAACCACGAAACGAAAATGGCGAAGCGGGCGACTGCAACCCCTTTGGCTGCGATGCGGGCGACTGTTAGGAGTTGATTATACTCACACTGGCCCTTTAGGGCGTGGGTGGTCTAGGGTGTTTTGTCTTCCATCTGCCCCTCTTCCCCTTCGGGGGGGGTGCCCCTCCTCCCTCACATCCCCTGGACCTGGACTGGGGATTCCGTTAGGGGTGGGAGCGTCCGAGATGGCCCAAGTGGCCCCAAGAACGCCTCGGGGAGCCCAAGATGAGTTCCAAAATGGCTCAAGATATCCCAAGATGCCTCAAGGTAGCTCCCAAGATGCTCCCAGAGGCCCCAAGACCGCTCCAAGACGGCTCCACGGGGCCAAAGAGCTCCCCAAGGAGGCCCCGAAAAGGCCCACATCCATCCCACGCCAAATGAACATCCATGTGCAATGTTTTCTCTCCTTTTCGCTTCCGACGGCCTTCCGAAGCTTCAAGATGGCTCCAAGAAGACCCAATGGGGGCCCCAAGAGAGGCCCGAGAGAGCCTCAAAATGGCCCCAAGAGTGCCCAACGGCGCCCCAAGACGCGATTGTAGGCACTCTAGATTGGACTTCCCCTTCGCTGATCGATGTCCTCCAAAATGACCAGAAGAGCGCTCCCAAGGCAGCCAAGAGCGCCCCAAGGGTGCCCCGAAAGGCGCCCAGGCCCCGACAGGCGCCCAACATGCCTCTGAAAGGCTCCAGGGAGGCCCCCAAGAGGCTTCAAGAGGATCCCCAAGACACCCAAAATGCCTTCCAGACGTTCCAAGAGGCCTCCAACAAAAACTCCCACTAGACATCCGAAGAAGCCCGTGTGCTCGCCCTTTTTCCTCCTCTTCCTCTTCCTCGTCCTCCTTTCTCTCCTGTTCCTCCTCCTCCTTCTCCTCCTCCTTCTCCTCTTCCTTATCCGCCTCCTGATCCTCCTCCTCCTCCTCCTGCCTCCTTCCTCCTCTCTCTCCCCCACCTAGGACGGCGTCCCCCGCCCTTTGTTCTTCTGCGTGCTCCCCCACTTCCCTGATCACCTCAACTCCCCTGGGCATCGTTTCTGGATGGACTGGTGGGAGTACTTTTTTGTTTACCAACCGCTAGCGGACAGCCGCGCGGCGCCACTAGTCAAAGGCAGCCAGGCCTACGTGCAGGGCGAGAGCCTAAACAACAGCTGGCAAGCGTGGGAGAGGACAGAGCAGAGGAAAAGAGGGCGAGCGACGACAGGGCGAGAAGAGGACAGGCGACGAATGCAGCGCAGCTCAGAAGCGAACGTCCAAGCCCAGGTGCACTAGGTACCCGCCGTCCACGAACTACGTGCCCAGCGACATGTAACCGCATGCGGCCTGCAGATCGGCGTCGGTCAGATGCCGTGAGCCAAACAGCGCGAGCCCGCCAATAGGAGGAGCGTGGAACAGCCGCGCCCGTGGCCCTGCGTCCCAATATCCCAGCCACCAAATCAAGCCAACGAAGGGGCATGGCCGGAGGGGCTCGAACGCTCTTGTCGCGAGAGCCGAACAGAAGTCCGAACCTGCCATCACAATCCGTCCATTAGGGCCGTCGCGGGACAGCCGACATGAGGCAAAGGGCCCACAGGCCCGCGCGCCCCGGGGGGAGCACGGAGGGCCTGTGGGGTGCTGTAGAGGGGGGGCGGCTAACAGCCGCAGAAAGTTGAAGTGAGCGAGTGGGGTCGCAGTTAACAGCCGTGGAGAGTGGATGCGCCTTTGGGCCGGTGGGGATATATTTTTCGGTCGCGTCCACCAGCGAAGGCGCTAGCGGAGTCAGGAGCGCTGCGGGTCACGAAAGCGGCCTAATTAGCAACTAAACGCGCCGCAAACCGGCCGGCCCACTCACCCAGCAGCGGCTGACTGCGCGGGGGAAACGGCGATCTGAGGGCGCCCAGGAAGCTCGGGCACTTGCAGCCCAGCAAAATGCCGGAGAATTCAAGTTGTGCCGTGAGGCAAGACCCACACGAAGCGCGAGGACGATAGCGGCGAGCTGCGTGTCCAACATGCCGTCTGGGCGTCCAGGGGTGGTAAGCGATGGGCGAGTCGCCAGTGGGGCGCCAAGCCCAGGTCGCGCCAACGGCGTGTGCGAGCCAGCTGAGCTGCTCCGCCGAAGAACGTCGAACCAGCCTGGAGGGCGGGACAGGCCCGGGGGAGCGGCCGCGGCTGCGAAGGCTGAACCACTCGAAGCGGCCCGAACTCCAGGGGCCGTCATCCCGCGCACCACGGGGAAGGCACCGAGACTTCAGGGGGCCAACCTGTCCCACAGCTGCGCGAGCGCCGGCTGAAGCAC